AAACTCACGCCGGGCGCATGTGCGTGCGTGCCCAAGATCCCGAGAGGAGAATTGAGGAGAAGGGATTGTGGTGTGGTCATCCTCCCTGGGGGGTGATTTCTCGCTTTCTGTCTCTCTGTCTCTGTCTGACGAGCGCACGCGCCTTAAAGCAAAAAACAAACAAACAAACAAAACATACTGGGCGCGCGCGTGTGTGTGTATGCCCCAAATCCTGAGGAAAACGGAGGAGGGACTGTGGTGTAGCCATCTCCCATGGAGGGGATGCTTTCTTATTTTCTGTCTCCAGAGAGTGTGTGCACCTGTAGCAAAAAAAAAAAAAAAAAAAAAAGAGAGAGGAGAGAGAGATTTAAAATATTAGGAAGCTATGGAGCCAGCAGGTGGCATGGTGGTTAAGGGTGCTGGACTCCCACATGGACAGCTGTGGTTCAAGTCCTGGACCTGGGGGTTGCTTTCTCACTTTCTCTCTCTCTCTCACTCTGGTCAAATTAAAATAAATAAATAAATAAATAAAAGTTAAATAGTTCTTTTAAAAAATGTTAGGAAGCTAGAAAATCACCAATGAATTAAACCCAAGATAAGCAAAGAGAGAGGATGATAGAGTGAAAATTGGGCCAGCCAGGTGGTGTGGTGGTTAAGGTGACCAGAACTCACAAGATTGATTGCGCCATTTGAATCCTGGACCCAGTAGCTTGAAAAACATGCCAGGTGCATGTGTGTGTATACCTACAATCCTGAGGGAAGAGTGAAGAAGGGATTGCAGCATGGTCATCCCTTCTGGGGTGTGTGTGTGTGTGTGCTCATTTTCTCTGTCTCTCTCTGTTTCCCTCTGGTGAGCACACATGCCCCATCATAAATTTTTTGAAGTGAAAAATCAACAAAATAGAAAATGGACAAATAATAAAGATGATCGAAACCAAAAACTGGTTATTTGAAATTATCAATAAAGTTGGTAAGTACCTAGGCTCATTGAGAAAAAAGGAAAGGCATACGTTATCAATATCTGAAATGAAAGAGGGATGGGGCTGGCAGGTGGAGCGGTGGTTAAGGGCGTTAGCCCAAATGGCTGACCATCATTCGAGTCCCAGGCTTGGCGGTTCACTTTCTTCCCCCCCCCCCCCCGACTTTGTCTCTCCCTTGTCGAATTAAAATAAATAAAGTTAAATAATAAAACAATAATTCTTTAACATAAAAAAGAGATGAAAGATGGGATCTCACTATAAATTCTGGATGTTGAAAGAATGATACAGGGATAGTATTAACTTTATGCCAATTAAATGAAATGGACAAATTCCTTAAAAGACAGAAATACACAAATTATCAAAATTGACACATAAAGAAACAAAACATCTGAATGCCCTAAGATCTAATTAAATAAACTGTGTAATTAAAAGCCTTCCTACAGGAGGTTGGCAGGTGGCGTGGTGATTAAGGTTGCTAGACTCCCACATGGTCTTCAGTGGCTCAAGTTCTGGACCTGGCGGTTTGCTTTCTCACTTTTCCTCTCCCCCTCTTGTTGTACCTCTCTGTTCAAATTTAAATAAATAAAGTTAAATAAAACAATTCTTTTTTTTTTTTTGAGAGCTTTTTGCTATAGGGCGCGTGTGCTCGCCAGACGGCGAGAGACAGAGAGACAGAAAGCAAGAAATCACTCCCCAGAGGTGATGGCCATGCCACAATCCCTGCTCCTCCATTCTCCTCTCGGGATCTTGGACAGCCATGCACACGCGCCGGGCGTGAGTTAAAGCCACTGGGTCCGGGACGCGAACCGCGGTCGACTATGTGGGAGTCCAGCGACATAGCCATTACACTAACTGCTGGTCCCAATAAAACAATTCTTAAAAAAAAGCCTTCCCACAAAGAAAACTCTAGGTACCATGGCTTCATTTGTGAATCTATCAAACATACAAAGAATAAATAACACCAAACCAATCTTTTTTGTTTGTTTTGTTTTTGCCATAGGGTACGTGTATTTGCTGGAGAGAGACAGACAGAGAAGGAAAGTGAGAAATCATCCCTCGGGGGGATGGCTACATCAAAATCTCTTCTCCATTCTCCTCTTGGGATTTTAGGCACGTACACATATGCGCCTGGCATGAGTTTCAAGTCTCAAGCCAACAGGTCCAGTCAGCCGTGTGGGAATCCAACACCTTAGCCACCATGCCACCTTCTTGTCCCTTCCAGTTAGCCTCTGAGAACATTAGAGAAGGAGACACTTTTCAAGCAAACCAGAAGACCGGAAGCCAATATCCCTTATGAACATGGATTCAAAATTTCTACAGATGTTAGCAAATAGGATTCTGCAATATATAAAAGGTAACACCTCATGACCAAGTACCATTTTTATCTCAGGAACGCAACATTGGTTTAACATTTGGAAAATAATCAGTCGCTTCATCACCCCAACAGAATAAAGGAGGAAAAGGGCATGATCATCTTGATAGATGCAGAAAAAAATCAGTTGAAAAAATTCAATGCCCTTGCCCCAAATTCAACAACCATGTACAATAAAAATTCTCAGAGAACTAGGATGACGTGGGCCAAGCCACAGCCTAGTGGTTAAGGAAGCCAGAGCGCACATGGTTGACTGCGATTTGAATCCTGCCTGGAGGCTTAACAAATACACCAGGTACTGCGAACGCAGAAGTTAAACCCCAACAGGACAGAGATGGAAAAGGGACTGTGGCATGTCCACGTCCTGTTGGAAGGTGCTCTCTCCATCCCTGTCTGGTAAGTGCATGCGCCCTCTGACTAAAAGGAAAATCTAAACCAAAATACTAGGATAACCAGGCAAATTATGTCTGTGATGATCTTACAGCTTTCGTCTTACTACCTTCATCTTACTGGTGGAAGATAAGACTTCCCGCCAAAGATTGAGAACAAGGCAATGTCTTCACTCACCGCCTCCATCTGGCGTTTTATGAGAGGCCCTAGCTAGTGCAGTAAGGCATGAAGTAAAATGCATTCTGATTGAAAAGGAAGAATCAAAACTATGTTTATTTGCAGATGAAATGATTGTATACATAAAGCATCCCGAGGTATTTATCAAAAAACTACGGGAACCAACAAGCGAACTGAAGCAAGGCCCGCACACAAGACTCAGCTGTGTTTCTATACACTGTCAATGAGCCGTCAAGAAAAATGAAATTAAGACACCATTTATAGTAGCATCGAGAAAACATTAACTATGTCAGGAGAAACTGGTGGCACGTGAAAGGACTGGGTGGCAGTGCTGTGGATCTGTCTCAAGTCCAGGCATGGCTACCTGGGCGTAGAAATGAGGGGCACTGGAAAGCTCAAGGCTCCCAGTGTGACAAATCCCAGTGTAGCCGGAGACTGAAACGTCCATCTTTTTCACTCGAGTTGGACTTTACCAACGCCAGCTTCATGGGCATGTAGTGTGAGCCACGATCGGGCTACTTTCCGAGACACTCGGGGGGCCCTTGGGTATATGAAGCCTGACTTACTTCTGCAAATGGGAGTCAGGTCCTTCTTCGTGAGAACACTTCCTTTCCCTCTGCCTTCCTCCTCACTCCCTGTCCTCCCAGGCTCTTGCTGTCAGGGTGACACAGGGCATGGCCCAGCTGGACCTTGGGCAGTGGCTGCTATGCCACCATGCCTGGGCCTGTGCCTGAGGATGAGGCTGTTCTGGCTGGTAGGCCAGCCCACAGGCCTCCAGCAGCTCCGGGGGCAGGGGGGCTACTGGACTCGGGGGGCTCTCAGTATGCTCCTTTCTGCCTGTGCCCCGAGCCCTAATCACTTCTCCAAATGACAAATAGCAAGGGGGGGCCTGGGCCCTATCTACTGTGCCACCGTGCAGAGCTGGGCTCTTGGGGAGCCCTCGCTCTGCCCCGTTGGGTGCTACTGGCCCTCCTCTCCCTAGGCTGGACTGCGGGCAGCCTCTGCCACCCACTCC